TGTTGTTTATCAACGCGATTATAGCGAACCAACACTTGAAGATCATTTTGATAAATCAATTTTACCAAAAGTTATGCAGGTAATGTACAGTGTTTTCTTGTATTCTATTTTAGTGTATTTATGTTTTATATAATGTTCGAGATAGAACTTGTGACCAACTGCCCGGTGCCGCACATAAATCAATAACACGTTTAACATCATCATTTAGAATATTGAATTCATCGTGTATTTGTAACAGTTTAAATGCACTTCTCGCACGCCATCCCTGTTCTTTTGCTAAACGATAGTAAATATCACGTTTATCTTTTGTCGATTTACCCATCTGAAAATAACGACACATTTTGTTAATTACCAATCTTCTGAGCACTCTCGTCTTGTCCCACACAGATCAATCTATTACAGTAGTATTATTGTACAGAAGAGTCTGTCAATAATTTCCCTCCAACGAGCGACCTGATATCAATGAATAGGAGGGGATATAGGATAAACAATCTACTATACCTCCCTCACCGATTGTGAGTGAGTTCTTGTTTCGTCAAAAAAAAGATGGGAGACCGTTTCACAACATTCTTAGATCAAAATCGAACAGTTGTTAGTTTTATATCGTATGTTGTTTTTGTTTGATGATCAGAGCAAACGTAACGCACTCCATACCTTGTTTAGGTACTCGGACCATTCGTTCACGTTCTTTTTGTCTTGGATGCTTCATTTCAGCCTACTTCTCTCACAGATAGTTTATCTCAGTGCTTTTTGTGTGCAAACAATTCGTCTTGAGGACAGTTCGTATTCTTCCTTGGAAACAGGTAATCCATCTTCCACCAGTTACTTAATGCAAAAGGTTCAGAAATGTAAAAATATGCACATATAAAACATGATCGTTTTCTCACTTCCATTTGCAGCAGACTCTCTCCAAGTCGTCACTGACCTTCTAAGTTCGTCAAAGTTCCTTTTCTGGATCTTTTTCAAGGAGTAATTAGTAGAAGGCAAATTACTTGTTTCCAAGGAAGGATACGAACTGTCCTCAAGACGAATTATTTGCACACAAAAAGTATTGAGGCAAACTATCTGTGAGAGAAATAGATCGGAAGAAAAACGAATGATTCAATCATTTTCTTTTTATTGTCTAAATGAAACAATCTGCATTAGTGTCCCTACCAAGGTCGAAAGAAAACGATAAAGTGAGCGAACAATCGACAGATGAATCTTTATTTTGGTTCACTTAAAATCTGCTTTTCTCACATAATAAGATTTATCCAAAAATTTCATACAATAAGAAATTTATCTAATACACTTGTACTGCTTTTTTTTTACAAGAGAGAAAAAAATAAATAAAACATTCGATAATAACCGCATATGTATGTACAACAGGAAAAAATGTCTCTTTTATTCAGTTTTTTTACTCTTATGAAATGTATTTTTTTTTGCTGGACGATCAAACAATTGTTTCATTCCACCACCACGTTCATTATGAAATTTAATATTTGATGCTTTGTCTGATGCCCATGGACTTTCAAATGATGTTGTGTCTTGATCAACCAAATGTGTATATTTTGTACGACCAGCCATACCAAAATTTTTAACCTAAAAAAATAATAAAAAACATAAATACACTAAAATAGAATACAAGAAAACACTGTACATTACCTGCATAACTTTTGGTAAAATTGATTTATCAAAATGATCTTCAAGTGTTGGTTCGCTATAATCGCGTTGATAAACAACA